GGACAGTATCTGAGAGGCAGCAATACTCTAAAGGAAATATTCCACATTCTGTTCCTTGGGAATACAGCAGTAAGCAAACCAGAGCCAACTGGGACACTGGTTTGTGTAAAACCACCTTAAAACGCCAAAAGGTCAGTAAATCAGCTTAAATCTTCCGGCCCAGCAAGTGGGGAATACAAATATTTAAAGACCATGAAAACTAAGCTCTCACTTCAGAAACAGCCTGTCTGTCAGGGGGCACTGCAGCTCAGCCACTGCCAGCTCCTGCCAAGGACTGGCTGCAAATAGGCCCTGCATGTTCTTCTGATCACTTTTCCACTGAATTAAAATGTGCAACATTTGAGAAAGGATCCACCAAGTAGCTCAGGTTTCAACCTATTACTGTGCAACAATCCACTTACTAATCCACTCTGATCAAAGTGAATAGGCAATATTGGTGCATGGATACCTCAGTGGTTTTCACTCCTTTTATCAGGCTGATTGTTGACCCAAATCTCTAATGAAGCTGTCAAGGACAAACTCAAGCACCTTCAGACACACTTGAAAAAAAAAAAAAATCTACTGCCTCAAATTCTGTTTTAGCAAATGTCTCGTGTTCTACCAAATCATCCATTCATAAACAAACTCTGCAGCCTCTCAACAACGTACAGGTACAAAATATTTAATATACATAGAAACATCCTGAAGTAACTCTATAAAGATTGTGCTTTTGTTTTCATATATAGGTATAACTATTGCACTTGCCTCCAACTTGGGAATGCTAAGTACACTAACACCAACTGTTTGTGAAGTTTAGTCACTGAGAAGGAGAGAATCAAAGGAATGTCAATATGTAAGTGCAAATAAAACAGGTGCTTTGAAGCGCACACAAATGTAACCACCAAATTATTAAGATAAAGATATTTGATTTTCAAAATAGAACTGTTAGAGACTAACTCTACAGAAATCCTTGAAAACAAAGACCTGAAGAGTGAAATAACAGACTTAATGATCCCAGAGATATTTCACAGCCCCGTACAGGCCTCAGTTTTTCCCTGGACACCACTAAGTAATACTGTTGGATTTACACAAGCTCTCAATTTCCACCCATCCTCAATTTCTGAGCTTCTTAATCTTCCATACATAAAGATGCTGTTGTTCTGCACCAAATCAAATCAACACCCTCATGTCTTACACAGACACACCCAACCTAACACAATGGTTGAGCACAGTATTTCCCAGATGCACCCGGGGTGACACTGCAGGGACTAGCACTCGATCTGCGAGCGGGGCATCCTGCGCAAGCTTAGGGAGTGCCGGTGTATTTCCTGCATCTGCCTTTCCTGCATCTGCCTTATTCTATCTTTTTGCCACATCAAATTTTGTGGCATAGGGTATCTCTGGGTTCCCTGCAGGCACCTGAAGGGAATTCTCACATGGCAGGCTGTTGCTCTGCAGCGTGGCTGAGGCATGGGAGGCAGGAGCATCCAGCGCTTCCTCTCGGCGCAGTAGCGATAGGCCTCCTTCCTGTACTGCTTGTCAATGTCATCGCTGTTTTTCCACCCCCCAATGATAAAAACATCATCTTTATAATAACAAATAGCTGCTCCTTCAATGCTAAGAACCTCTGGGGGTAAGCTCTCCAGTATTTCATCCGAGGCCCTGCCAGAGATCTTTATCTTGGCTTCCTCGTTATCTATAGGGTAACTCTTGGGGCAGCACGATGCTGTGTGGTAGAAGTTTGTGTTAGCAACAGACATCTGAAAAGAGCAATAATTATCAATGAGGGGCAAAGACTCCACATCCTGCCACTGCCTGGTTTCAGCATCATATCTGGTAATAACTGCTCTCAACCCATCTTCACTATCGCTGTCAACTGGGGTGCGGGCAGCAACATAAACAAACCGGTCTTCTACAGAAACTGCTTTGACATCTCGAAGGATCTTTGGTGCTGACTCCAGGTTAAGCCACTTGTCTTGCTCAGGATTATAAATAGCCACATCTTTAAAGCCAGGACTGAAGTTGCCATGCCCACCAATACTGTACAAGTTTCCTTTAACTTCAGTAAGGCCAAAAGAATGCTTTCTGGTTATTAGATTTGAGACTTGTTCCCAAATATTTCTGTTTGGGTTGTACCTTTCTACAGTCTTGGCAAACCCTGGTTCCATGGAGCCAGCCACATAAACGTAAGATTCTGTCACAGCAACAGCATGTCCATCCAGGTGGTTGTGAATGTGTGGCAAGTTTACCCACCTGTCTTCATCGATGAAATACCCTACGCACTCGCTCAAGTAATCTCCTCCCTCTGACACACCACCAATCACCATAATCACATCCATGTTCTGTCCAAAACGTGGCAACAAGGTGACAGGACAAGTGGAATGTTGCAGATTGCCAGACTGCAAGTTCTCAGACCGCAGAGCGTGACTCTCCACAGCTTCAGACACTAATTTCACACAGGCTTCATTGCTCGACACCAGCCTTTCAGATTTGACGTGGCGAGTCAGGTAAGTGGGTTTCATCTGAGACAATCTGAGCAGTTTAAAGAGATCTTCAAAGTACCTCTCTCTTTCCTCTGGATTTTTCTGAACCCACTTCAAAACAGTCTCAAAGAGGATTTCTTCAGAGTCCACTGTGATCTCTGAGTCTGACAGCCAGTCTCTGATGAGGTGAAAGGGCAAAGTGTAGAACTCCTCATCTTGGATAACTTTGTGGAAATTCCTCCGGATCATGTCCTGAGCCTTCAGGGCCAGCTGGTTCAAGGAATACATGTGGGCCAAGCTATGAACTGCAACGCAGTTGGAGAGGTTGAGCTTCTTCTTCAGAAACTCTCCACAGAACTCTTTTAAGCGGGTCAGCAGAAACCTGGGGAATAAACGGACAGGGTGAAGGTGAGGCTGCGCCGCCGGCCCGGCCCGGCCCC